CTATTTCTAGTAAGAATTTCCCTGGTTTTATTCATGATAAAGGTTGCTCTATGCCTATTTGCAGATAAGTCGATAATATCGATGACATGTTCCTCCTGTTCCTTAAGTATCATAAATCCATAGATAGAATTTCCAGACACATCGGTCCAACCATCCAGGCATATAGTAGCATTAGTAAAGGTTGGCATCTTAGTCAATTTGTTTTGTAAATAGTTAAAGAACTTTTTTGTCAAGATACATTCTCGAAGCATATCAAGGGAAGAAGGTTGATAACCTGAAGCCAATTCTTGAAGGAAGTCTTGGAAATATAGATTTTCGATGAAATTAAAAGGGATATTACCATATATAATAGCATTTAAAAGCTTTAAATGGAGTTTTTCAAATTGGGTAGAGGATAGAGGCTTACTATACTAATTTAAAATGCTTTCTTGTTTTGTAGGTAATATGGCTAATTCAGCTGATTCAGCTGATTCAGCTATGGTTTCAATCGACTCTTGATCTTGGATAGATTTAATTCGCTTACAGGTAGAAGGTGTATGCTCAGTTGCTTTTTTAAGATAACTGGCTTTCTCAGAAACTGGCCAGTTATTGCATTTAAGAACATAATTATGAAGTCTTTCTGGCTTGCCCTCAAGTTCAATCAAACAATATTTGCACTTAGCAGCATATCTGTTACCCGTTTTTTTATCTACAGAACAATAAAAGCCTGTCCATCAGGGACTTTGGGTGAAAAGAAGTTGAGCAAAACCTGCCAGTGGCTGCATGATCTATCTTAGTTTTACTGGAAAGATGAAAAAATGATATAAAATTTATTATTTTAATAGTGGGAAAAGCGATTTTACAGCTTGAGGCATTTATTAAATTTAGTTCTCTTTTTATAACTTTTTAGATACATCATAAGAATGATAATTTACTAATATTTTTATCAAGCTCATCAATGATTTTTTTTCACGATTACTATCTTTAGAGGTTATCATTGTGTGAAGTATTTAGTTTTCTTATTTTGAGGCATTTAATTTGACTTTAATAAGAATTTTATTTTTCAACATCGTGAATGAGGTGTTATTTTTGATATTTGCTTATTTGTTTATACATGCAAGTTTACTATTTAGTTTGAACAAATGCCAGAATGTGAGCATCGTTATTATATTGTAAAATATTTTTACAAAATTTTACAATCACTAGTCAAATTAATAAATTATTGATATTAACAATATTGGTAAGTTTATCGATTCGGTCAACTTATTATTGATTAATTTTCATGTTCAGAATTTCTGAAAATAGCTATGTTAATGATTCTTTTTTTGGTATTCTTAATCAATTTTAATTATTTCATCTTTTTTTAGATAAGGCTCGCTTTTAATGAAGAAGAATAATCATCAATGCAAGTAATTATTTCATTTTTTTTTAGATAAGTCTTGCTTTTAATGAAGAATAATCATGCAATGCAAGTAATTATTTCATCTTTTTTTAGATAAAACTCATTTTTAATAAAAATAATCATATGATGCAAGTAATTATTTCATATTTTTTTAGATAAGACTCATTTTTAACAAAGAAGATTAATCATGTGATGCGATGCAAGCAATTATTTCATCTTTTTTTAGATAAGACTTCTATGAGTATTTTATTATTTCATCTTATTTAGATAAGAATCGTTTTTAACGAAAAAGAAAATTATGCAATGCAAGTCTCTATATAGTTAATTTCTTTAACCAAATATGGTTTAGTCATTTAACTATACCAAAATTGCAGTTATGTGAATGTAAATACTAAAATTAGAAATTGCAATGAATAAACATTTACCAATATATGAATAACTTTATTCAATCTTTTTTTTGTTTAATTTAGCTAGATTGATAAAATTTTATCAATTTGATCTACTACAAAATTTTTACTGGATAAACTACTACGAATATTGTTTCTTTGTTGAAGAAAAGGACTCTTAGAAAACATAACATCTTATATTTGGGTTTCGCCATATTACGATCAATAGTTATAATTTAATAAGACTAGGTTGTATATATGCATAAGAATTGCTATTTAATTTTTGATCATGTATTAAGCTAATTCAATAATTCTCATCCCTTATAAGCAGGCTGAATCATACAGTCAACCCTTCATAAATGCACCCATCTTGGGATCATAATAAAAAAAATTGAAATGTGTATTTAGAAAGGGTGTGCATTTATAGAAAATAACATGTATGAGTTTCTATTAGATAGAACCGGGTTATACTGTGCATTTAGAGAGAATTTATATAGAGCGAAAGGTGCATTTATGGAGAACTGTATTTAGTGTTAATCCTATAAGTAAGAATGGGATAACAAACAAGTTTGGAGTCTATACAGATTGAAACAGAATAACTATACTGAGTGTATCAAAAGTTATTGTATATGGTTCTTTTTTTTTAAGTGATTTTATACAGTTATATATATTGACCATGACAATAATTATTGTAATCTCTATATTTAAGTTACTTAAAAAAGGATCATGCACAAGGACTTTTGATACACCCGATACTAAAAATCCTTTAGTATCAACATTCGCTCAAATGAATTCTGAATTCATAGATTTCTGAAATGTGCTTTATTCCATTTATTAAAAGTCTAGTCAAGTAATCTCTAATTAGCTTATAACATTAATTATATTTGATTAAAAATATTTATACTTTTTATTGCATAATAGATAAAATTTATTTGATACAAAGTATATTAATAAATAATTTTAAAAAATTTATGTACTATATACTGTAAGCGCGAATAATGCTTGTGAAAATGTTCTTCAAAAATAACATATGTGGTCTCGCATTAGCATCTGTGAGCATTCCGAATTAACATCTGTGGGTGTTTCGAATTAACATGCATCCCAATATAATTAATGATTGTGATGGATTAAAATGAAATCAGATCAAAATGAAATATTGTACAATATAAAAAATAGGCATTTTTTTAGGTTAGGGATTAGAGGTTAGTTTTAGGGTAATATTTATAATAAACAAGTATAAGTGGGTTTTAAAAGATTAAATAGAAACCCTCATTTTATTTTAATCCAGTTTCATTATGATCTGCAACAATGATTATACCCAACTTGTAATAGTAGCTAGCCGGGTAGATGTATTAGAGTCTTAGTATTTATTAGTTTAAATGTTTAGAACTATTCAAGTTCGTAAATATTTATTATTTATTAACACGATATTTATTTTTCTATTTTATACAGATATAATTTCTGTATTTGTTAACCATGTGCATATGTCAATTAATTATTTTATTTATATATAGTATTAATTTTTTGATTGACTGTTTATTATTCACATAATATAATGTTATACAAAAATATATGAGCATGCCTTTTGACCTTAAGGCATGCCCATAGGAGCATGCTCCATGCCCTTGTGCCCTAAACCCTACATATAAGGCCAACTAATCAACAAAAAACAGTTACTATAATGCAACTATAATTTCCAAATTTTATCATAAATGGAATTTAAACCTTAGATCTACCACTTGAAAGATAACAACCCAATTACTGTACTAGAATCACTATTCTCATTACTCTTTTTTACTCTAATTAATTTTATAACTCTCTTATATATTATTCTCACTTTTCTTGTTTAGTTTCTTTATACAGATACATTGTTTTTTGTTAATTTTTATGCTTAATTTCTGCACTATGTTTTGCAATTACATGCTTTACTCATTACTATTGTTATTATTTTGTGATCACTACCTATTGCTTCTTCTATGCAAACTTTTTAAAAACCTAATGCAAGTGTTTATAATAACCAAATATAATCTATTCTTGTTGCATCTTTATAACTTAACCATGTATATACTTTTTTACCAGTATAAACTTCTGTATAAATCTGTAAAATTCTATCTTTTAAGTTATTTCTACTAGTATTGATTTTTATTATACAGTCAAACCTCTCTAAATACATAGCCGTTGGCGACCAAAAAATCTTGCATTTAGAAAGGTATTGCATTTAAGAAAGTAAAAATCTATAAGTGTCATATGAGTTATGAAAAAACGAGGCCATGCATTTAAAGAGGTTCTTCATAGACTATGCATTTAGGGAATATGCATTTATAGAGGTCTGACTGTATTATATAAAAAAATTATAACGATTACTAGCCAATCAGAGTGTAAACGTGTATATGGATTAAATTATTGCATATTTTTATATAGTATAGTAGTGATTAAAAAAGGTCCTGTCCAATGAATTATCAAATACGAATATATTGTAAGTAGAAACGGATTCTGAATTTTTATATCCTAACCTTAATTTAACTAGAATATTCCAAATCCATTTAAATTCCGGTTCCACTTACAAAATATAAATCAAGAAAATCTCGGGCTAAAGATCACTTTCGGTCTTAAGACTCTTGATCCAGAACCAATAAAATCCAAAATATTGTAAATAATATAAAACTTTACTGACAACTAATTTCTGAACTCTAATTAAGCATGCCATGTTAGCTATAATATATACGTTTTTAATTTTTAATGTATATAAGAAATATTTGATATACAGGTTACCCTCATTAAATCAACCCATTTGGATTAGACAATTATGTTGATATATGCGAGGGTTGATAACAGCGGGATAGCCTGAGCCTATGTTTTCTTAATATGAGGTTGATATTAACGGGGTAACCTGTATTACGAACTTAATTATGGGGTCGAATGTCCGGAATTTTCTTGACATAAGGATATCCATAGAAAAATAATCGTCGAACATTAATTTATAGCTGGTAGCACGTTTCATTTGAACCAACTATAAAATTATTACTGAACCTATATTTAATAAACATGTAATAAAAAACCAGTTACTGATAACGAAATAACATTTTGCATTGGAATTCCTGTCTAAATATATTATTTAGTTAAGCATAAAATAATTATTCTTGAATACGAACAATGATGTATGAATTTTTTAAATTTAAAAAGGCATCAAATCTTTAGAGTTATAGTACACGCGATAACTATCTAAGTTTTTATTACTTAAATGTTTTACCATCCGCGCACTTCTTGCCGTCAAGATGGCCATCCCAAGCCTAATGCGTAAATATGTTTCGAAGGTATTAGTTGGCATGAATATAAATTATATAAATATAAAAAGTAACTTATACAATAAACGCTTACCAAGTAATCCTCAAAGTTACAACGAACTTGACTATCTGTATGATCCACCTTTTTGAATTCATAACTTTCGAAATCTGCAGCGTCTGTTACTGTTATTCAGGAATATCAAAAAGTTTGGAATTCAGTGAGGTTGATCAAAATTATTAACTTTCTTATTTTAAAAAAGCTCGATAACATACCTTCCTCTGGTATTTCTTGCCCACGAATGACAAAATATCCGGCAATTTCATTTTTATCATCTGAATAGTAAATTATAATTAGCCGTTTAGTCTCTAAAATATTATAAAACTGAAGAATCTCACCTTCACCCAACACCAGCAAATTTCCAAATGCATATTTGCGCGCTCGCTCTAAACGATTGAAAAAGCCACCAATAAGGTTACTGCTCATGTAGACTTTTGTCAATTCGTCATTATATTTATAATCCACACGCCAAATGGAATATCCTTCCGGGTCATAATGTTCCCAGAACCAATTAATAGCATCTGGACGAGTATTGTTGTTAGAATAGAATCGTTTCCATTCCTCCAGATTTAGTTTGCTGGGAGGCAATAGATCTAGCTTGCTCTTAGGTTTAGGCGCGGGCTTTTCTTCCTCTTCTAGATCATCATCAGGAGCTTCTGTTTTTTTATTACTTTTTTCTTTTTCTTCTTCCTTAGGTTTGGATTCCTTTTTACTTTTTTCCTTCTTGGGAGCTGTTCCCATTATTAAACAAGATTGCTCAATAGAATGTAAAATAAAAAATAATAATAAAAAAAACATATAAAAATTAAATAGACGTACGGGTATATACTTGCGCAACATCTACAAGAGTGACTTCACCTAAGACTTTCTTAAAAGCTGGTTGATTGACGAGTGTCACATACCATCGAGTAAGATTCTTGAAATTTTTACGGAACTCAGTGTCCAATACCAGTTTGAAAGGAAAGTAAAGAGCTGTAGCAATAGAAATATCGGCCAATGTAATGCGTTCACCAACCAAGTAGGTCTTTTTTAGCAAGGTCTTTTCTAGCACGTTCAAAGACTTTTTTAGACCTTCCGTTGACTGGCTATGAGCCTTATTTGAAAATTTAAAGTTAGCGTTACAACCTTATTAATTCAAACATAAAAATTTACCAACATATACTACTATAAATAATAAATTACCGCTTTATTGTATTGTGTTATGCCTAAAATTGGGTTGATCCAAGTATTAGCGTGAGGAATAATCTCGTTTTCGGCAAATAGAATGTAATTAAGAACTTTTGCAGTTTCTTTTTTATCTTTGCCTAAAAGCTGGGTATTTTCAGAACAACTAGACACTAAGTGTCATATAGTACGTTTGATTTGTGATTAGTTTTTATGAAAAGACATTATTAATGCTACTATCACATAATATTTCAGAAAAACGATTCTCTTTCATAAAGCAATTATCAGCCAGGGATAACTGTTTTTGTTTCTCATCATTTAAAAAACAAAAAAAAAACTATTTTTTTTTACACACGATCCGAACCACATATACAGATGGAATATGTAATAATTAAACTGAAATATTGTACTTACCATAATATGCAATAGCTCCGCATTCATTAAGATGGAGGTCACCTTCAGCATTTTCAAACGCAGGAACCTACAAAAGAAAAGTAATGTATTTCATAAATTTAATCGGTTAACAATCTTAATTAATAGATATAACCAAGTTCATATACCGTTCAAATTTACATTTTTAATTCGTAACACGAAAATCAATGAACGGTTCAAGGTGTATTTTCACTTACTTTTTCATGACAGAATTTTTCCAGAAATTCGGGTTCTTTGTTATCTTTACCGATTTCAAATTCGGCAACCTCCAGTTCAAGATGATTATACTCGGCAGCAATTAAAATCTTGAAAGTACGTGGATTGTTGGGATAGGAATAGATTTTCTATACGGAGATCAGTGGATTAATAAATAAAAAAATTATAAATTCTCAGATATTAAAAAAAAAAAAGGTCTAGTTAAGAAAATTATAAACTTGTAATATAGCATTTTAATATATAAACATTTGTCTAAAATAATTATTAAAGCAGTAAAAGATTAATTTCCTTAACATCAATAAACACAATACGAGATAACTGCGCCGAGATTCTTACTCGTGCTGAAACTTATTCCCCACTTTCATGACTTAGAGCAACTCTTATTCCTAAGTCTTGTGATCTACTTGAAAAGCTCTTTATATAAATGAAAATGATACATACGCCGATAGGAGCCATTTTTATTGCCTGGAATCAAGTAAAGAGATGGGCAAATTGGACAAATCCGAAAAAAAATTTTTAGATCAGAGGCTTATAACTTAAATCAAAGCCACTACCGTGTGATGCGAAAAACCATGTCACGTGACACACGTCGCATGCTGTATGAGAAACGGATTCGGAATTTTTATATAAAACCTCATAGGTCTACCTTTCAATATACAGAGAAGTGTTCAGAGTTGTTAAAAATTTTTCCTATCATATGACTAAATTTGTTGATTGACCAATCAAACTAGGATAGACGGAATTTAACTATTTGATGATTTAATCGATTAGTTGTTTCAAAATTTTCCAAATCGATTAGTTGGAAAGTTGTCAACTAGTTGATTTTTCAACTAACGATCTGGATCACTATTGAGCAAAGACGTTCCCACTTATCTTAATTTCAGTATAATCCAAGATTGTCCAATAAACGGCAGGTATATTTTGTCTTCTATGCAAAGTTCGTCGAGATTAAGATTATTTTGAGATTATTTCGCCAATGAATATAAACGTTCGTTTAAAGCTAGAAATGAGATTTTTTATTAGTGAAATGTTACGTTATCAAAAAGTACCGTATTTTACGGTCCAAACCACCCCCCTGTTGGATTTTTACACATTACGATAAATAAACTATCATATACATTATTTAAATATACGTATGACCATAATTATTTTATGGCAGGGGGTGGTTTGGACCGTAAAATACGGTACTTTAAAATGTATAAATAAGTTACCTGGCAATTGATTTGCATTAGCCAATCAGACGATCTTCCTCCTAAGAAGTTAATTTTATATCTAATCCCCACTTACATATAATTAGTGTATAATGTATGGAATCGGAATGACTCGTAAATTTATGGTCCGAGCTCACATTTATGAAAGCTGGTCCTGAACCTTGTAAATATGCACAAGTGTGACATCGAAATCTAACGCTAAGTGAACACTAACATTATTAACCTTAATAGAGAAATCTTTTAGATTGGTGATACTAGCATAGCGGGCTTTCATTGTGATTGGATAATTTTTTTTTGGTGTGACTAGGATTTTATCCAATTAGAGGTGGTGTTGATTATTAAGAGAAGATATGATTTAATGATTAAAAAAATAAAATAATTGAAATGTTAAACTGCAATTTTATTATTATTATTATTATTATTTCTTTAAACAGTTATGGCAATACTTTATTAAACCATTTGTAGTTTTTTTTTTTTTTTTTGGTATATTAAGGTAATTTTTTTAGTTTTTTGATTTTTATTAACAATTTTTTTGGTAATGTGATTTTATGAATTATTACAGAAGAGTATACAATTGGTTATATATATAACTTTTTTATATTACTTATTTAAGAAGTTCATTTGAAGGTTCTTTACCAATTATTATACCTAATACTTTTGCTTAGATATTTTACTTTAAACCTTCTAAATCTGCAATCTGTATTAATATCATTAAATTATACTTAGATACTCAAATTATTATTTTAAATTTAGGATTATTTTATCTTCAAGATAAACCTTTTAAAGGTTTCTGTATCTATTTTTATAGTTGATCTGATATCATTATAACAGAACAATACTTATGATCCAAACTTAATTATTTTTATTATTTTTTTTTTTTTATTTATATAATATCAGGTAGAAAAAATAATAATACATGGGTATATCAATTGGATATAAATGTATAAATAAAATA